ATATATATATATATATATATATATATATATATATATATATATATATACACACACATGCGTTTGTTCGCGCTTTCCGGAGCATAGATCCAGGTTCATAAACGATTCCAGCAAACTCAATAAGAGCCAGATGTAAAAGCGGCCTTGCAACAAGGCATACTATTCTTTTTGCATTGATTAATTTTTGACATTAACATTATAAATTAATTTTCAACAGGACGCCACAGCCGAGGGCCAAATGATGCAGGCCGAGAGTTTTCAGACTGTGACTCTTGTGCCATCCGACAACGGCCAGGGCGAAGTGAGCTACGTCCTTGTAGTGCAGGAGGAGAAACCGGCCATCAATATAAACATCAAGGTACATGCGTAGCGGTGATCTGTTTAACTGGAGGACTTTTAAACACGAGGGAAAGAAACTCACGAAGTTCTGGCAAGCTCGCAAAACGGTCCCCATTATCCACCAGAGCATTGTTTACCTGACATATGTATTGTTCTACTTAGACTTTAAAAAGATTCTCAGATCAGCTGTTTGTGTATTGTATTTTTTTTTATTTTATCTTTTAGGATGAAAAAGGTAATGATGACGTGTACACGTTCGAGGAAGAGGAAACCCCGGGGGATGAGCCGGATGAGGAGGAGCCAGCAACCAAGTTGAAGACGCCTGCGCCTGCCAAGCGCAGCAAGTACTCGCGCCCACAGTTTACTTGCAACTTCTGCACCTACACTAGCCATCGCCGGTAATATTTTCTATCCGATGGATAAAACATTACAAAGTGTATTCATATGTACTCAATTGTTAAATTTATAAAATTTGGTGCCACACAATATGTGATGTGTACAAACGCAAAATAATGAGAACACTGTAAACCTAAAATAAACAAAATATAAAGACAAAGAAGCCTTTTACAGTGCTATAATTATTTCGATAATGGTAAACAGGTACCTGTTGTTGCGCCACATGAAATGTCACTCTGAGGAGCGTCCACACAAGTGCAAGGTGTGCGAACGCGGGTTCAAGACGCACGCTTCGCTGCAGAACCACGTGAATATGCATAACGGCGTCAAGCCACACACCTGTAAATTCTGCGACAGCTCATTTACCACTTCAGGTTTGTTGAAGTACCTTTTCAATCTCTTGTATATTTTCTGAATGTCGGATGAAGCATAAATAAATTATAAATGACTATTCTGTGCAGGCGAGCTGGTCCGTCACGTGCGCTACAAGCACACCCACGAAAAGCCGCATCGTTGCACGGAGTGCGACTACGCCTCTGTCGAACTCTCCAAGCTGCGCCGCCACGTGCGGTGCCACACTGGCGAGAGACCATACCAGGTAACATCATTGTAACATTTATTGAAGAATAGATTTCCTGGAGACGTCACCGTAACATTCCCTAAAACATCGGATCGCCATGACTCATTTATGCCGCGAAGAATTAAACAAAACTTTTTAATGACAAATGTGGCGATTATTGTGCTATGGTATCATTATTATATCGATAAAGTGTATTGGTAATAGAAGGCGCGGTTTGCAATAGAAACGCTGTGGTGTTCGTCTTCAATGCAGTCATGTATCATTAAAATTTTATAAACATTGCTAACTAGTAAAGTAGTATTAGACAAGTGTCTAATTATGTTGTTTACTACAGTGTCCGAACTGCACGTACGCTTCTCCGGACACATTCAAGCTGAAACGGCACCTGCGCACACACACCGGAGAAAAACCGTACAAGTGCGAGCACTGCAACATGTGCTTTACGCAGTCCAATTCGCTCAAGGCGCACAAGCTCATTCACAACGGTCAGTGGATAATCCATATAAAGTTGTATCACATCTTTATCTCAGTACGTACCAAAACTGTCCAAAAATTAATTAAATTAAAATTTCTTTTGTAGGTCATGTTGGAACCATAATAACAGAAAATGAATCTTAATCTTAATTGTACCTCCAGCTTTTCCTTTAGCCATGAAATGTCTTCATGGATAAAGCAACTATTGGCAGTATAATTAATAGGAACAAATTAATAATGTTTTTATTTGAAATATTACGTCAACTCAACAACAACAAAAAAATACTTCTCTCAAATATCCCTCTTAAAAATAATGCCCGTTCTGTATAATCTACATATATTTTTTTCGAGGCCAACAAGCAATTCTGAATTTTCATTACATTACATACAACAAATAAAAACTATTATTACACAACATGATCAAAATGATTTTGTTTTTATTTTGTTATTTAATTAGTTAATTATTATGCATTTTTATAATTTTTTTTTAGTGTCTGAGAAACCGGTCTATGCGTGCGAGTTATGCCCGGCTAAGTGCGGGCGTAAGACTGACTTGCGCATCCACATTCAAAAGCTGCATACTTCCGATCAGCCGCTCAAGTGTAAACGCTGCGGCAAGTCCTTCCCCGATCGCTACTCTTGCAAGATTCACAACAAGGTACTTAACAACACCCTCAGATACTTCCATCGTTTTTGGTTATGTACTCGATGGTGACTTCTTATGTTTTCACTAGTCACTTATTTTTAGCAATTAATAAGTTTCTAAACTGTTATTAAAAGTGAGTAGGTATGAGTTGGGCATTTTTATCAAACTATTTATGAGAATATGTTGGGCAATAAAATAATAACTTAAAATTTATATTCAGACGCACGAGGGTGAGAAATGCTTCAGGTGCGAGCTGTGCCCGTACGCGTCGACCACGCTGCGCCATCTCAAGTCTCACATACTGAAGCACACCGACGAAAAGCCCTTCGCCTGTGAACAGTGCGACCAAACTTTCAGGTAACGGTTTCTATTCTTTCATCTGGGGTGTAACGATGTGGAAATGCGCTGACACGTACCAAATGTGCCAATAGTCACAGACACAGATCTAGTGCCTCGGATTTAAATGTGATGGGATCGTATTATTATAATTTGTATATGTTGCCGTCCATAATGCATAACCATTGACTTACAAATAAATGGACGACGGGTCTAATACAAAAACCACGAAAAAAATGTCCCAAGTCGACCTATTCGAAATTTAAATTGTAATGTCATCGCAGTATCGCGCTGTCAGTCGAACAAATGAAGACTAAAGCGGAGTTTGGCGCTCTGTATACGATTTTAGCGCCTTACAAGTGCGGACACTTTTTAGCGCGGACCCGACGTCCATATAATTGTAAGTCAATGTGCATAACATAATAATTAATTAAATAGTCTCCGGCAATGGATAACAAAGAGTTATTTCTTTTTCATGTACAGACAGAAGCAGTTGTTGCGTCGCCACCAAAACCTTTACCACAATCCGGACTATGTTCCCAAGCCACCGAAAGAGAAGACTCACTCATGCCACGTGTGTCATCGTTCTTTCGCACGGAAAGGCAATCTCATTCGCCATCTCGCCGTTCATGACCCGGAGTCCGGCCATCAGGAGCGCTCACTCGCGTTGAAACTCGGACGTCAGAAGAAGTTCAAATTCGTCAATGGACAAATGAAGGTATACACAGACATAAAAAAAGATAACGATGTAGTAGTTATGACACGAAGTTGTGCAAATAAATTTTCCCAATAAGTTAACTTGCGTCATCCTTTGCATGTGTATGTGCACGCATGCACAGGTAAGCAGGTATCTTAAAACAATGCGTATTAAGTTTGGATACTGTTCTAAATCTATAAAATTACAATGTCTGTCAACTACGTTTTAAAGCTTCGCGGCATAACAGCGGCCTTAGGGCTTAGACTGCATGAAAGTGTAAATGATGTAAATAAGGTAAGAAGAGTACACAATGCCAGTGGCGACACTCTGTCTAAGAAGTAGGTATTACTAACATAATGTATATTAAAAAGTGAAGTTTACAATATTTGTTGTACTAGACTCCATGGCGCTTTGTATGTGGAAGAGATATAAGGCCTTTAAATGAGTCTATTATGAAAATGACCGGAAAAACTTGTTTTCGTTAAACAATGTGGTAGTGTTAATTTTCTTTCTTACTGTATCACAGATAAATAGTGCCATCACACTATATAAGAACGATTTGGGCTAAGCGAGTTTTACGACTAAACTTGCATGGAATTTTAAAATCTGTGATAAAATAGTGATCAAACTTGTACCTCGAATTTTTATTGTCTTATAACATTTTTAATTTAAAAGTTAGTGACGTAACAATCGCGTTAGCCTGTAAATGTAAATAAATGTCACTGCGATTTGCATTGCGAATGTCACGAGTATGTTGGCAAAGCGAATGTATATATTTGTGTCGCCACCGCGAATGTTTTTCTCGTGTATTCTGCCCGGCGAATGTATTGACTAGTATTTTGCCCGTGCGAAATTGTAAGCCAATCTCATCGATCGTATGTGTATAAACTGCCTCCGTGGATGAACGGTTACCATGTCGGACTGCCACGCAGAGGTCCTGGGTTCGATTCCCAGGCCGGGAGAAGTATGTGTATGACTTAATTTATTCCTTTCGCGAGTTTGGATGTAATTTGTGTTCGTCTATGTGTGTGTCCATGGCACCCGCGACACATGGTTTCCCTAGTGCGCGGCTATGAGTGTGTTGCGTTATACATACATACATACGTACAGTCTTCTACCGAAAAGCACTCGCAGCGAATTCGTAGCGACTGTTTTCCGGTAGAAGATCTGTGTGAATGATCTAAGCTAGGTTTGTAGGTCTTGGTGATTACCAATTATGAAATAGTTTATGGCAATTGCGAATCATAATGCTGGCGAACAGAATCTGCAATCATGAATGTTTTCTGTGACAATTATTGAACCGATTTTCATCATATTATAAACCACTGACGTATGTAAAATGGTGTTATCGAGTTCTCTGCTTAAATTATAATAATGTAATTAGAACAAAAACCTTCCACTATTGACAAATGACTCGCCGTTTTGTAATGGTATGAAGCGAAAATTTGAATAATATCTTAAAACCTAATAAGTCAGCCGAGTATTTCCTCAAGAGATTAGTGGCAATCACTTGTCATGTCCACACAGAAACGTACATCGAAATTTAGATTTCCTACGATGTTTAATGTATATTTGTTATGACTTTTCGCAACATTAAGTCTGAGATACTTAAATGAGTAAATAATATGTGTTATCATTGACCTATCAATAAATGGACGTCGGGTTCGCGCTAAAAAGTGTCCGCACCTATAGGGCGTTAAAATCCCATACAGAGCGTTAATCACGCAACAGTCCTCGTTTGTTCGACTGACAGCGCGGTTGTCACTCATGCAGTACTATATAATAATAACTTGTAAAAATTACTGCAGTGAAGTGTTAAAACAGGATTTTGTATCATACTTTCACTAAACAAATATATTGTGTTATCATAGTTTTCATTTAAAAGTGTTATTTTCACCAGTTTTATAGTATTTAATTTATACAGAAATGAATCGTAAATGTAAATTACAAAAGCACACAAAATATTTAAATAGCTAACTGTCCTTTTTCTACACATTGCATGTACAAAAGATGGAAAGAGACCCATTACGTCAATTTCAAGAGACTTATATAAACTTCTTGGTCATTTTCAATTGTTCGAAGTACAAGCGATTGAAATATTTAGAACAAAGAAACTATAGAGTTGGTTTAATTTTAATCTTATTTTTAAAATGATTTTTTATTAAACGTTCGCAATAACTAACAAAATATTGAGTACAAACTCGTTTCACGGCTTGGGATTACCTATCAGAAGTCAGAAAATACATTTGCCCGAAATAACGTTAGCTCAAATTTTTATAATGTCAAATGCATTTATTAGGAAGATTACAAAACCAAAGCTAATCTTGTCTTTGTGAAAAGAATCAAAATTACTCGACAGTGTAACGGTTTTATTATAAATCGGTTTTCGGAATTACAGATATTTGAATTTACGTTTAGTTGGAATATCGGTACATTTCTTACAGTACACGCTTATTTTCACATTTGTATGAATATTTGTATGCATGTATCTGTCCAACTCTTTATAATTTCTTTAAGTGAATTGTACAAAATTCGACGTAATAATATATTATATAAAAATTAATTAATATTTACGATGAAGGCTACTCCATTACTCTTGTGTTCAAGTAATTTTCAGTCGAAGCTAAATATGGTGCATTTTGTTAAATTTCAAGTATAAGCTGAATATGGTGTTTTTGGGCCCTTAAATTGTTGCAAGCAAAATTAAGACAGTATTGCAATGACGTTACAATTTAATTGTTTTATTTTTTTTATGTTTCGTTACATGTGACTACGTTTGTATAGGTCAACTTCGGACATTTTTTCTTGGTTTTTGTATTAGACCCGACGTCCATTTGTTGATAGGTCAATGTGTGTTGTATATAATAGTTGTTAAAATCAAAATTACTGAATGGATTTTGGAGTACAAACTGCTGTGCGATTGCTTGCGAATTTACAATTTTACAATGCAGCGAATTCCATCACGCCAGCTGTATGTACGCATCGCGGCTTGCGAACGGATTACAGGTACGTTAACACTTGTAACTTGCTTAGCGATTAGTTTAAAAATCGACTTAAGAATGAAATATGTATATCTGCGCTCTCTGAACATCGGTTTATAAAAAATTGATTAGTTACAAAATGTTTCTTTTACTTTCTGTTTCGAATCCGAGAAAATACGAATATTGCTTGTACGTATCGCTGGTCTCGCTTGTCTCGCTTGTTGTGAGATAAAATGATCCTTGTGACATTTCGAAACGTCATTTCTCGGATTCGGAACGAATACGAATCGGATGCAGTGCGTAAACGCTCAATGTAAAATATCTTGATTAATGACATTAAATACCATCGCATACACTTAAATTTTGAGTGTTGTTACAAGTTATGTGTGTGTTGCTAAGAGATAAAATGGAGCATCTATTTAACAAATTGATAAAATTTTATTTAGTTATCTATATTAAATATTTATGGAAGAAACAACAAATTGTTTTTAGAAATGTTTCTGTATCTATTTTATAATCTTCATAACGCAACATCTGTTTATGTTCTAATGTACGTAATTACTCAAATTGGTTGTCCTTTATGATAATTTTGAAAAGTTGCAATAAACATCAACTGTTCGCAGATTTTAAATGAAGACGATTCGAGCAACGAGCCTGCGGAGATCGTGAAGCTCGGTATGCGCGGCAACGAGCTGAAACGCGGCGAACTGGTGACTGTAGCCGACGGCGACGGGCAGCAATATGTGGTCCTCGAGGTGATAACTCTAGAAGACGGCACTGAACAGCAGGTCGCTGTAGTTGCACCGGATATGCTAGAAGAAGAGCCCGATGGTATTGTATTATTAAATCACCTTTTTAATTTATTACTCGTGTAACCAGAACAGTTCTTTTTAACATTATAGAAAATTAAAAGTGATATATTTTATTTTTCTAACTTATAGCGTAATCTATTAAAGGTTATGTGTATCTTAAAAGTTACTTACTTATTGGAATACCAGAAGAAGAAAATAATTAAATTTTGTACATTTCCAGAAGAAGAAGAGGAAGAAGAGGAGGAGGACGAGGAAGAGCACGAAGAAGAAGAAGAGGAGGAGGAAGAAGATAACGAAGAAGATGAGGAAGACGAAGGAATGGAAGAGGAAATAACAGACAAGACGACTGTGTACATAGAAAAGCAGCGCACGAACAAGGGCATCAAGCTTGAGAACGAAGTCGACAACTGCTTCGGCTTCGATGTAAGTAATACGTATATCCTATAGATGGCAGGAACATCTCATCATATACAAATGATTTAAAAAACTCCGTATGACAAATGTGCTATGAGTTAATGTCTACCACATACACCCGGTTGATTATAGTGCAGATAGACATTTGTCCAATTTGCGACGCATAGAAAACGGTGACGTAACAGAAGTCAACTATTTGTCTTCTTTGTTATGCATAGTTCAATCCATTCTATTTGAAAGAAAAACAAATTGGTTTGGTTAAAATTCTTAAGCAATCACTCAATAAATGGCATAAACAACACTTTCACATATATTTTCAAGGTTTCAATTTTTCCAACAATATTCATTTGTATAACTTAGTATCTTTGGGTTTTACATCGTTTTCAACGCGATCATATAAAAAATCAAAGAGAGTAAAATTGATATTTGGATATAGTGGAACATTTTTTCGATATATAAAATGGCAGATGTCTATCGTCGTACCGTTTTAACCTTTTTGTACGATTCACGTCTCAATTTTCGGTATAAAACCCACAAGCAAAATTGCCTTTTCTACGTCCATTCTCAATTACAGTTGATGCTAGACTGCCGCCCGGTACCCCGCTTGTTCATGTGAACTTAGCCTAATGCTTACTATGCTTTTCTGAACTCATTGTGATTGTTATCGTTTTAACATTTTCATTTTAATCATTATTTCCATTTACGATGTTTTTTTATGTGCACGCTAGCGATTGGTTTGATCATTAAGCACACTCATTTATATTTTAATTTTTAAGATCATCGTCAGCATCATCAATAATGCTTATACTATTTTCCCGGAAATGACTGACGTAACAACTCAACCCGCAACTACTTGTCTATGATGTTTTCCATATAATTTCATGAAACTGTGCAGACATACTAAATAGACTTATCGTCCCGTCACTTAGTATTATAAAAAATTTTAATAATAATCTTAATAAATAAATTGATAATTGCCATAACTAGAAACTTGCAAGTTTGCGCTGGTTTTTTCAAGTTGCTTATTTCCCCTACCGGCAATCGTAACGTGTTGAGTGATTACACTCCCCCAGCCCTCGTAGCGTCAGTCTTGGATTTGGAAAGTTTATAAAGTCTGTATATAAAAAAATTGCGTCAACTGTAAAACGTGCCTTTTTACTGCTGCAACTGACAATCGTTAACGGAAACTTAAATTTCTCCTTTTGCGTTTTTGTCCATGATTACGCACTCAATGGATAGGGATTTCCAGGGGGACTACGGACTCCCCGGAGAACAGGACGTTGCTTAGTTTGTAACAACCCAGAAAAAATATTTAAAAAATCGGAGTCATGTTTTTTTTGTAATATAAGCATTTTAATGAAAAATGTTGAAAATGTACGACCTGTGCACCATTACACCATATATATATATATATATATATATATAT